CGGGCCCCTCATTTCCACCTCATCGCAGCTGAATTTGTCAATCGTCATCATGCAGTCCGACGACGAAGGCCGCCAGCCTGGGCTGCCGTTTCGAATCCGAGCTAACGATGCCACTCGCAAACAGAGCTACAACGTTCCCTCGCCCAACGACATGGTCGTCGACACAGACGACTATGTCGGCGTCCCTAACGCTCCCGAGAAAGAATCAGTGGCCATCATCAGCCCCGAGGGCCCCGTCGAACATGAGGCCGATCAGCTACAAGATCTGCCTCTGGCTAACGACTGTGCGTATTCTCTCCCTCTTTCTCTCCCTCTTTCTCTGACAAGGGCGCCCTCACTGACTTGACCCGTGCTACTGCAGTCGAGGCCATGAAAGAGATTGTTCTCCCGCCCTTGCTCGACGAGCCCAAAATCCTCCAAGACTTTGTACACACATGGACGGTCGAGAACTGGCGAAGCCTTGGCAAACGAGAACACGGCCCCGTATTTGAAGCAGGCGGCTTTCCATGGTCCGTTTACCACGACTTGATATACATACAGTTTCGTGTAAAAGTTCACTCCCAGCTGACACTGCTACATCCAGGCGCATTCTTCTCTTTCCCCATGGTAACAACACTGATCAATGCTCCATCTACCTGGAGCACGGGTTCGAGCCTGATGCTATTCCCGAGAATTGGAGCTGTTGCGTGCAGTTTGGCCTAGTACTTTGGAACCCTAATGATCCCACTCTATACGTCAATCATGCCGCGCATCATCGCTTCACTAAGGAGGAAGGCGATTGGGGCTTCACCCGCTTCGTTGAGATTCGGAGAATGTTCAACGTGCCCTGGGAAGGTGACAGTCGACCACTGGTCGAGAACGACACTGCTAACATAACAGCCTATGTTCGCTTTGTCGAGGACGAGACTGGTGTGCTCTGGCACAACTTTACCAACTACGACTCCAAGAAAGAAACGGGCTATGTTGGTCTCAAGAACCAAGGTGCCACCTGTTACCTCAACTCCCTTCTCCAATCGCTCTACTTCACAAACGCTTTCAGAAAAGTCAGTTCTCCCTGCTCCTTTCTTGCATGCAAACATTCTGCCTCGCCCAACACCTGGTACTAACCCTCATAGGCCATCTACGAAATTCCAACCGAAAATGATGAAAGCATGCAGAATTCTGCCTACACTCTGCAGCGCCTTTTTTATCAATTGCAGACATCCGAGCAAGCGGTTGGCACGAATGAATTAACAAAGTCCTTTGGCTGGGAAACGAGACACATCTTCGAGCAGCAAGACGTGCAGGAGTTGTCGCGAAAGCTCATGGAACGAATGGAGGAGAAGATGAAGGGCACCAAGGCCGAAAACGTACTGCCTGAGCTTTTCAGTGGTAAGATTAAGACCTACATTTCATGCATAAATGTGGACTACGAATCAAAGCGCATTGAGGATTTTTGGGATATCCAGCTCAACGTCAGCGGAAACAAGAATCTTTTGGAAAGTTTCCAAGACTATATCCAGGTCGAGAAGATGGATGGAGAAAACCAGTATTTTGCCGGCGACCAACACAAGTTGCAGGATGCCAACAAGGGCGTCATATTTACCAGTTTCCCAGACGTCCTGCACCTCCAGCTCAAGCGCTTCGAGTATGACATCCAAAGAGACATGATGATGAAGATTAATGACCGCTACGAATTCCCCGACACTTTTGACGCTTCCCCCTATCTCATGGACGAGGCCGACCGATCCGAGCCCTGGATTTACCAACTGCACGGAGTCCTTGTACACAGCGGCGACTTGAACGCCGGTCACTATTATGCGTTTATCAAGCCATCAAAAGACGGCTGGTTCTACAAGTACGATGATGACAAAGTCACCAAGGCTACTTCCAGAGAGGTTTTGGAAGAGAATTTTGGCGGAGAATATCGAACTCCTCACGGCTACCCCAGAGCGCCTCTTCAAAAGAAGGCCCCGATAATGCGTCAGAACAGTGCTTACATGTTGGTATATATCCGCCAATCTCGGCTTGACAAAGTCCTCTGCCCCGTCACCAAGGAAGACACTCCAAAACTTCTTAGTAAGTCATTTGTTGTTTTGTGATGCCACTTTTTTTTGTCCTTGCAGAGGGCTGACTGAAGTTCCTTTCTTCTAGGGGAGCGTTTTGAAGAGGAAAATGCCTTGAGGGAGGCTCGTCGACGTGAACAAAAGGAGGCGCATCTGTATATGATGGCCAAGGTGATTACAAATGACACGTTTGCGAGCTACGGAGGCACCGACCTTTGTGTCTTTGATGCTAATCCTGAGCTCGACCCCGCTGCACCCAAACTGTACCGCATTCGTCGAGCTATGCCGATGCAAGAGTTTGTCGCTCAGGTCGCTTCTGACATGGGCCAAGATCCATCTCGCGTCAGGCTGTGGCTGATGGTTAATCGTCAAAATAAAACAATTCGACCAGATCAACCAATCATGGACCTACGGCCAACTGTTGAAGAGGTATTCTCCCGCTCAGCTGCACACCGAGACACGAGTTTGCGAGTCTGGGCCGAGGTCGCCAGCGAGGTCAATGAAAACGGCGAACCTGTCTGGGCGTCATATCAAAGCCAGCCAAATGGCGCTCAAGCGAAGAGCGATACCATCCTATTGCTGTTGAAGCACTTTGATGTTGAGAAGCAGACTCTTGAAGGCGTTGGTCATCTGTACATTAGCAAGGAAAAGAAGGTCGACGAGCTTGTTCCCATGATTCTTCAGAAGATGGGTTGGGGCGACAAGCTTTCTTCTGACGAGAAGCTGTTGATGTGGGAGGTATGAGAGAAACTAAACTGAGCGGACCCCATGGCAAGCAAAGAGGCTGACGTCTTTATCTCAAACAGGAAATCAAGCCGACAATGATTGAACCTCTAAAGGGAAAGCAGACTCTCAAGGCAGCTGAACTTCAAGACGGCGATATTATTTGCTTCCAGCGCACTTCTGACAAGAAGACAGAAAATGGCCGTGTAGCGGACAAGGCATCCCAGGAAGCGTATGTTCTCCAGGCCAACACCCCTTTCCCCCCAATGATGACTGGCTGACCTTCCTTAGTAACAAATCGTTCGATCGCGTCGAGGATGCTCGTGAATATTATGACTTCCTCGAACATAAGCGAACTGTCAAATTCCACGCTCATCCTACCAGATCTGACCCAGCACAGTATCCACCATTCGAACTTGTTCTTAACTCAAAGATCACCTATGATGTCTTGGCTGAACGCGTCGGCTCTCACCTTCAAGCTCCTTCAACACATATCCGGTTATGGACGGTCAACGCAAGCACCAATAACCCCAAGACTCCAGTAAGACGGGGCACAAACCCGACATTAAAGCAGATTTTGAACCCCATGGGCTCAAACACATTGAACTCGACCCAAAGAAATGATGCTTTCTACTTTGAGGTGCTGGAGATGAGTTTGGCTGAGCTCGATACCAAGAAGAACATTAAAGTCACATGGCTGAGCGAAGGCATCACCAAAGAGGTACGTATCAGACAATACGCAGCCGCAGACTTCAGTTAGGCTAACTTGTAGTTCCAAGGACCAACTTGACCTGCTGGTATCAAAAACTGGAACTATGGAGGACTTGATACAAGCACTAATCAAGAAGGCCAAGATTGCCGACGAGACAGAAGGCGGGAGGATAAGGGTTTACGAAACAAGTTCAAATCGATTTTATCGTGAGCCAGCGCGCGACCAGTCTGTGTTGAACCTTAACGAGTACACACAGATCTTCGCCGAGCGAATCCCGGAGGAAGAACTGGCAGCCGATGACAGCAACTTCATTCACGTGTTCCACTTCCAAAACGAAGTCAACAGAGTGCATGGCGTTCCCTTCAAGTTCCTTCTCGTGGAGGTGAGTACATTCGGCAACGCATGTTGTTCAACACCTTTTACTTACGCAATGTTTAGGGCGAGAAATTTGCCGACACCAAGAAGAGACTGGAGAAGAGGTCAGGTATCAAGGGCAAGAGCTTCGAGAAGATCAAGTTTGCTATTGCAAGGAGGGCAAACTATTCAAAACCACAATATCTTAATGATGGTTCGTCTACACTCATGGCTAATGACGAGGATTTCTTGAAGCTAACCGCAACCAACCACATAGACGACGAATTATGGAACATAGCCTCATCTGAAGATGACTATCTTGGTTTCGACCATCCGGATAGATCAAGATCCTTGAGAAACGGCGTTGGGGACCTTTTCCTTCGTTAGGCGACGGTATACAAGCTAAGCTCGTGTCGGCGATACAACACGCGGCAATGTGGAAAGACTTGGTGAATGGCTCCAGGAGTCTTTGGTATATCTCGTTTCATACCCATCAACCACACCGACATGGTTTCATATCTTTGTCATGAGACAGTGGGCGTTTACTTATTGCTTCTTTTTTTGGCTGCCTCTCTTTGTTTTAGCATGCATGTGGCGACGCATGAAATGCAGGCGAACGGTGGATGAGATATGTTTTGATAAAATATCAATACAATGAGCATATTGGATTGAAGTGGTCTGTAGCATTGGCTCTGATGGCTATATGTTGTTCTCAAGTCTGGAAGACGGCTATTGTAGTATTATCGAATCAAACAAGTCCAAGATTATATTGTGAACGCCCTGTGATTATATGGGATGGGTGCATGGGGCATCTTACTCACGATACCCTCGTGCCCTCCAAATCTCTATGTTCTTTCCCCCCCTGAAGTTCTATATCCAACAATGAATTTTCCCCTGGTTCAATCAGTAGCTCTTCATTGGGCTTTCAAGGTACATCAAAGTAACATGTGATCAATACCAGCCAGCCTTTTTTTCATCAATCCTCAGTTCATATCATGGTAGCCTTGCATACAGGCTTCGTTCATACCCTCGCATTCGCCATCACAACCGCAAGGTGTTGTTCTGTTCTATGGCCAGTCAGGCCCGTCGTCTATATCAAGTCTCGCAACCTTGTGCATTTCAGGTTCCTTTAACTTCTTGCTGTACTTGTTCATCCTCTTGTTACTTCATTCCACCTCTTGGCGATGCTTGGCTAGGGGTCCCCGCTCAATCTCCTCGACGGAAAGGTGGGCGCCTGCAGTCTTGAGAAGCTGCGCGCAGTCGTCTTTGCCAGACAGCGTTGCCAGGAAAAGGGGCGAGTTGTCCGCCCTGTTGCGCTCGTGCACGCTGGCGCCGCGCTTGAGAAGCTCGAGCATGATTTCGGTGTTGCCCGATACTGCGGCCAAGTGCACGGCTGTATTACCGGCGTAGTCGGCCGTCTTGAGAAGCTTGCTGCCTTCACCCTCGAGGAGTTGCTTGACCACGTCTATTTCTCCATTTTTGATGGCATAGCCGAGAGCTGTAAATGCAGACTCGGTGGCTGTCAGGCGAGAAGCGGCGTCGAGGGGAGGAGTTGGGTGAGAGAAGCTAGGATGCGCAATCTCAGTCATCTCACCACGAAGCGAGCGCGAAAACTGGGCTACAATGTCCTTTTGGGTGAGGTTAGGGAGGGCGAGGAGGTGTGAGAGCTTGGCAAGGGCTGCTTCAGCTGTAAGGTCGAGGCCGAATATGACACCCATGCGGCCAAGTTGGGTTCCAGGGGCGTAGACGGGGGACACGAAGCCGTTGACGCATTGGCTGACGTTGACGACGATGATGCCTCTGTCGACAGCGGAGCGAATCACTTCCGTGAGACGGCCGTCGATGCCACCTGGGACATTTCCCATGCCAAATGTCTCGAGGATGAGGCCCCTTAGGTCGGGAAGGTGAAGGACAGCATCGACCATTTCAGGCTTGATGCCAGGGAAGACGCGCAGACACGCAACGTGGGTTGTGTCGAGGTGCTTGAAGACGTGGAACTCGGCAATGGTGGTGGGTCGGAGAACCAGATGCCAGTTGACATTGATGCCGAGGCCGTTGACTTTGGCCAGGGGCTCGCAGTTGGGGCTGGCAAAGGCGTCGAAGGAGGCGGCCGAGACCTTTGTGGTGCGGTTGCCACGGTACAGCGTATCGCGGAAGAAGAGGCACACTTCGGGGATGACAAAGGTCCCGGCAATGATGAGCGAGCCGAGCAAGTTGTCGACGGCATCTGACTGGAGAGCAAAGATTGGGGCCTGCGAGCCGGTAAGGATGACGGGCTTGCCCAGGTTGGCCAGCATGAAGGAGAGGGCAGAGGCCGTGTAAGCCAGCGAATCGGTGCCGTGGAGGATGACGAAGCCGTCAAAGAGGTGATAGTTTTCCTTGACGGCAGTGGCCATGTTGGCCCAGTCGTTGGCAGAGATGTTGCTGGAGTCGAGCAACGGGTCGAATTCCAGGACGGAGTAGCGGACGTGCCTCTGGTAGGCTGTTGGGGGTGTTCTCAGGCTGTCGAGCTGGATCATCTGACCGCTGCGAGAAGCCTGCAGCTTGACTTTAGGTAATACGAATGTTAGCTAGTGGTGTTTAATTATGAAGATGAGAGCCCATAGGTGCGCTCTTGTATGATTCCGAGAGAGTTTGTATAGTAGATATGAGATTCACTCTCATCTACCCAAGTATATACAACAGTGTAAACTCACCACTTGGTTCTGAATTGTCATTAAACGTCGGCCTGGGAGCCATGGCACTCTCCAGAAATCCATCGCTGGGCGCAAGGCCGTCGGGCCCTTCTTGCATGCATATCGTGCCTCCGGTGCCGATGATCAAGACCCGGGACTCGGGGAGGCCGGCGTTGAGGGGAGGCGAATCGGTGATGGCGGGCGACATGAGAGGCTAGACTGGAGGTGATGCGATTATTTGACTGAAGACGAGAGAAAAAAAAATAAAGATGAAGAGATGAAAGAATGAATTGCTAGAGAGAGAGAATAAACTGACACAAAGAGACAAGAGGTTGAAAGATTGAATGCAAAAGTGCGGAAGGTCACTCTTCTTATCAAGGCGGTACCGCGCCCGTACATATACTCCAGATAAGGAAAAAAAAAAGGAAGCAGAAAAAGGGACTAAGAAAAAAAGAGGCGGCCCAACACGCAGTACAAGCTGCTTGCTAATTACGAAAAAATCTCGTCATGCGGACACGGAGAGAAAAAAACGGACAAGGAGAGCAAAGGAGAAGGAGAAAAGTTTGATAAGAATTTAGTCATAGCAAATGTCGGCATGTGCAGCCATTTTGCTGTTAAAAGTCTAGCACGCGAGGAAGAGAGGCGGCGGAGTGGATACGAAGGGGTAATAGAATCTCGAGAATCGGAGGTGCATGTTATCATGTGGTTGTTTTTTTTGAGTTCTGGGCCTTGAGGTAAATTAATCGATTAGATACGGTGCATATGCAACGTGAATTATTCGGAAGGGGATAAGATGTGCAAGCATGGATGGGGGAAGAGAGGGAGATGGTAGAGTAAAGAGGTTTGAATACTACTATACCTATGTGATGGATGTTGTATAATTGAAATGGAATTGGATGAGATTGGATGCGAGATACTGTATGTAGGTACAGAGGCACCTTTAGGTAGGTACTTGTCTTACTCATGATATACGGCAACTAACATAAGGGACCTGTATCTAGAATACGGCGGGCTTCCCTTCTTCTCGCGTAGCTGCGGCTTCGGGCTCGTTCCGTATTACTAGCATCAATCGCAGTCAATAGCCTCCAATCCAGCCAGATCTGGGGGAGTTGAGCTAGCTTCCATGGGCGCAAATGCAGTACTAAAGTAGCATCAGAGGCGGCCTTCAGGGGTGCAGCAAAGATGCAGACGGCCGAGTATCGGTACCTGTCCGGTGGCACCCAATTAGCCGTGTCTGCAAGTACCTGCTTGAACCTTGCTCATCCATCCATCGTCTCCATTCGGCATATTCCAACATGACCTGTATCGAGTACCTTACGTCACTTGGGTCCTGGGAGGCCATTGATCGGAGACGATGAATGACGCTTTAGTTTAATATCGATGGGGCTTCCCTTCTGCCATAGGTTATACAGCCATCAACAGACACTGAAAGGGAAAAAACAAGAAGAAGAAAAAAAGAGCCGGTACAAAGCACGGCATAACTTGCTGTCAACGCAGTACCGCGCAGGCACATGCACCCTCCCGCAGCTCCATGCCGTCAGCTCAAGTACAATCCAGGTACAGCTCCACCAGCCTCTTGTCGCATCCGATTGGGATAAGCGCGAGCCCTCAACGCCATCTTCCTTGACTTTCTGCTCAGCGCCGATTCAATTCGCGGAACCAAACCTTTTTTCTCTTCTTCTCTTGATTTGGCGAATCTCTCGGTCTCTGCTCGCCCATTCCTCTCTCGCCTGGGCCATCGCAACTCCTTGACGACGACACAAATCGAATCAATAATTATCGACTGCTACCGCTCAAGCATTTCCTTACACCGGCATCCGTTCGCTATCCGCTTCTTTCGACGGCGCTCTTGCGGGGGGGTTCAAAGGCCCAAGACAAAGAACGATGCGCGCCCATCACACCACGACTCTCCCATAAAACGCGCTTCATTCACCCAAAACAAGCGTCGCCCAGCTAGTCTCCCTCTCCTACAGTTCTTCTTCACGACGTTTCTGCCTCTCCTTGAGCCAGCGATTCGACTCAACGAACTCGGCGCGCGTCATGGATCGGCCCTCCGAAACCACCCCCGATGGCACTTCACCACGAACCTTTGCCCTCAATCACAGCAGACCAAAGTCCAGCTTTCAAGGCTGCTCCAGGATAGCCGACTATGAGCTGCAAGGCAAACTGGGCGAGGGCACCTTTGGGTATGGAAGCCCCCCTGTTCTTCCACATCACTAAAGCTGAAATATGGGGAGCTAATGCAAACACTTGTACCGCAGTGAGGTCCATCGCGCTCGATCCCGCAAGACAGGCGCTCTTGTCGCCTTGAAGAAGATTATCATGCACCATGAAAAAGACGGTGTAGGTGGCGGCACCAGGCATACCAAATTCGCTTTCTCTCCTCTGACTTACTCCAGTTCCCCATTACCGCTCTGCGAGAAATCAAGCTGCTCAAGCTGCTGTCTCACCCAAATATTCTGAGATTGGAAGACATGGCTGTAGAGCACCCAACGAGACAGAGTGAGTGTTTCCCCCCCTTCTTCTCTTCTTTGATCTTCCATTTTCTTCATCACCCCTTTTCCATCTGTCTTTTATCGTTCTTTTGCTGACAGATTTATACGTAGCCGACAAACGCAAGAAACCCATTATGTACATGGTGACGCCCTATATGGATCACGATCTTTCGGGCCTTCTCGATAATCCATCTGTTCACTTCAAAGAGGCCCAGATCAAGTGCTATATGCTCCAGCTACTCCAAGGTCTGCGCTACCTTCACGATAATCACGTCCTCCACCGAGATATGAAGGCGGCCAACCTTCTCATCAACAACAAGGGCATCCTCCAGATTGCCGATTTCGGTCTGGCCCGCCACTACGACGGACAAACGCCACGAGCCGGCCATGTTGTTGGAGAAGGCCGGCGAGACTACACCGGGCTGGTTGTCACTAGGTGGTACCGCCCGCCTGAACTTTTGCTGCAGCTAAGACGATATACCCCCGCTATTGACGTCTGGGGTGTTGGGTAAGATACGACGCCTCTTCCTGTTTTCTACAGTCTGATCTCCTTGTTATCCTCTCTCTCTCTCATGAGTGTCGCTGGTTCAAACGAAGCTAACTCCTTATAGCTGTGTGTTTGGAGAAATGCTGTTCGGCAAACCCATTCTTGCTGGCGAGAGTGACGCTCACCAACTGGAACTCATATGGGATCTAATGGGCTCGCCCACTGATGAGACTATGCCGGGATGGAAGAGCTTGCCTGGAGGTGAACATTTGTCTCCCAGGTCGCGGCCGGGAAATCTTCAAAGCCGCTTTAGGGAGTATGTTACCACCCGCCCATGACTGATTGATACCGCGATTGACTGTGTGCGACTAACGCTTTTCTTTCAGGTACGGCTCTGGGGCAATTGCTCTGCTAAAAGATTTGTTAAAACTGGACTGGAAGACACGGATTAATGCCGTGGATGCCTTGCAACATCCGTACTTCAAGAAGGAGCCGCTACCAATGGAACCACATCAGCTTCCTACTTACGAAGAGAGCCATGAGCTTGATCGGAGAAAATTCCACGACCGCAAAGCTGCCCTGCCCCCTGCCCCCAAGGGAGGAACGGTTGGCCTCGGTCCCGATGCAAATGGAGCAACTGCCGGGTTCAACAGCAATGACGCCTACGGTGGTCGAAGTGGTGCCAACGGGGGACGCTTCAGGGGCGGTGGTCCAGACGAGAGGCGGCCTGCTTGGCGGGATCGAGAGCGTGGGCCGCCGTCACGGCCTCCCCAGGACCGGCCGCCAAACTGGGAGGATGCTGACCATCGAGATCGAGATCGGGCGCCTCGCAACCGCGGGCCGGGCCGTGGACCAGATATAGACACTTATATTCCGAGCTATAGGCGCGAAGAGGCGGGAGGCCAGCGCAGGGATGATGACCGGCCTCGTGATGACCGACGACGCCCTACCAGTAAGGACAGTGGGCGACGATACGACAGAGAGCGGCGAACAAGAAGCCGAAGCCGCTCGCCGATGCATGACAGGAATCGCGACCGAGACATGTATCGACGATGAATACAACATAGGACTGTTAACATAATACGCACTAGATATGTGAGCCATGCATATGGTCATGGATAATTGGCTCACGTTGCAGCCATTTTGCACTTTTTTATGATATCCCATGGAAATAGTTCCCGACAGAATTTCTTGTTTTATGGGGGTTTGGAATGGCGTTGGAGGCAACTGATGAAGCATGTAAATGGTTACCTAAGCTTGAGAAAGCTGGCTGCTTGCTGCCGCTTTAGCCTTGGCAGCAGCAGTTGGGATGAAGAGGGTTGCCGTCACGGAAGAAGGGCCAATAGCACTGCATGTATAAACTCAAACTATGCAAAAAAGGGGGAGCAGCGTAAAGACGCCGGCAGAGCATTAGAAGCGCACAAAGTAGCTATTGTAAGAAGAAATCATATATCAGAGTCGTCCTCTTCTTCAAGAATCGTCTGTGACAGAAGTCCAGTTGCAACATGGCGGCGTGAAGGGGAGGGATCAGGCCAGTACCACTCTCCTTCGTTAGAGGATGAATCGTCTTTAAGAGTCGGCGTTGATAAGGACGACAGTGGCTTTTTACCCTGGGAGGCACGGGAGCGAGGTCCTTGGGCGGTGCTGCCACTATCTTGCATGCCGAGGTATGATGTGATGACGGTTGAGGAGGTGGCCAGGGTGAAGCCGGCGAAGACGCCGACTGCTGCTGCAGTGGCGAGCTATGGAGAGCAGATTAGCCGTGTTGTTTCACTTACATTAGAGGATGGAGATGGTTTTCTTCTTGTTGGGTTGTATTATTCAAGTGAAGACGTACAAATGTATATAGAGGCTATATGTCAGAGGCTGTTAGCAACCAGCCTCACTAACACGTCAAAGCGACATTACAGAGACGATAACACATGACATTTCAAGTCACAGGGGGGAAATAACGCACCTGAAGAGCAAGAATAAAGTCAAGGACAGCACGGCACCAGCTGGCCATGTACGCAACCAGGTATATCGCCGGCGCAAAGACGATGCGAAGGGCGCTCAGGAGATACGACACGGGTATGGAGGCAAGTCGCAAGGGGAAGATTAAGATGCGGCCGAGAAAGGAGAAGACGCGGGCAACGGGGCGGAGGTTGTCGAGGATGGCAGAGATGTCCATTTTGTAGAGAGGATGTTTGGCATGAGGGCGAAGATTATTTGGGGGGTTTGAGGGGTGGGAAAAAATGAGAGAGAGAGAGAGAGGTATGGAAAGGGAATTCAAGGGTACAATTGCATGGGAATATTGTTGTGGTATGAGTTTGAGTGAGTGAGGTATGGGGGTGTTATAAGTGTGGCTGGGGATGTGTGGCGGAGCTACGCAACCTGGAGCTTGGCTTATACTATTGGATGTAGATATAATGCAGGAGATTGGGAGATGAGATGGTTGGATTCGGACGGGAGACATGTTGAATTTTTCTTTGCTATTAAAATTGATTGATTCTTATGAATTTGGGTGTTATCTTATTGGATCGAAGTGCTTGGTTGTGTATGGCGGATACAGGCTGGAGTGGCGCATTAGGTAGTTGTAAGATGAAGGAGGATTTCAAAAGAGAATCAAATTTAATGACCCAAGCATTTTGTACGAGATGAGGAACTGTCGAAGGACCTTTTTGGCTACTATACTCCTTGAAGGTACTAATGATTCCCTGCATAGGTACTTCAGCATTACCTTAGTACTAGAGAAAGCCGTGTTGGCAGCTGCGTATGGATTCCAGTATCAATAAACAACCTAGTCAGGTAGCCGTCTGGAGGACTGCTAGATTAAATTACCGAAAACTGACAGGTACCTACTCGTATTATTCTTGCTGCAACATTACTGTACGTGTAGGCTTGACAGGCACAGATGCCCGCCTGTGACCACCCGCGCAGGCTAATGTTCCGGTTGTTAATAGAGTGTCGTCATGGCAGCACCAGGGCAAAATGTCCCGGATGTGGATAGCACGCTTGCAGCCCAGGTACAGGGAACCTCTACAGCACACCGCCAGCATGAGGCCACCCGCAGTATCCACCAAGTACCCAGTACGCCAGCGCTAACCCGCGCTGCTCCCGGAGGTACCTGCTCCGCCAGACCCAAGGCAAAAAGCAGCATCAACCCACAGATAAGAGCAACGCATTCCCCCACCACAAACCGCAACCCCCCCAATGGGCCCGATCCTACTGGCCAGCTTCCCGCTCCAGTTCCTCCAACCCACGATCGTCTGCTGCACGACGGGCTGCCACGGCACAGGCGAGACGACACGACAGCTGAAGGGGGAGAGAAAAAAAAGGACCTGAACCTGGAACCCCCACGAGCGTCCCCCCTCGGTAACTGTAACTGTACGGCAAGGCGCTGCATGCAGAAGCCCCGAAAGAGGAACGCGGATAATACTGCAGAGGAGATTACACAAGAAGACACGGCCAGCAGCCAAAAAAGGGCCCCTCTCGCGCGCCTTGAGTGTTTGCCTCGGGAATTTCCACCCGGGGCCCGGAATCTGGAATTTGACGGGACGGGAATTGATTGATTTGATCGCTTGTTCGTTTTGATCGGTTCATCGGATTTCGCCGCGAGACAAGACGACAGAGCACCGCAGCCCGTCGTCGTCGTCGTCCAACACACTCGGCCCCCAAAAAAACACCGCCGTTTAGAGCAGATCTAGATGACCTCTTGACCCAGACCCAGACCCAGACACATCACACATCGACAGACACACATCGAGATCCTCTCAGAAACCCCCACCGCCGTTTCATCCTCTCAGCACGCCGCAATCCAACCACGTTCGCCCAAGCATCGTCACGCGAGTCTCCCCGCTGCCCAGCCCTGCTCGCCGGTGCCTTGTGCAACGACAAGCCGCCAACCGGTCGCCTCTGCAACCCCCCTCTGCTCCCGCTAGCAGCCCATCCTCTGTCTGGGATTGTTGTTTTCTCTTCTCGCCCTCGCTTCCCACGTCCCTGCCGCCACCCCTGGTCGGGTTCCCAAACCATGGGTAACAACCATTCGGCGTCCAACAAGGCGGGCGGGCCTGGGTCGCCTCCGCAGCAGCAGCAGCAGCCGCCAGGCCTCGAGTCTCAGTCTCAGTCTCCTCGCCAGCCTCAGCATCGCAAGGACGGATCCCGCAACATCATCCCCATCCACGGTGCCCGCGCCGCTGCCGCCACCGAATCCTCGTCTCTCCAGGCCCAGGGCTCTATCGCCGCCTCCGTGCCCAAGCCCAAGAGCGTGCCCGCCACCGGCGTCTCCTCCCTCAGCGGCTCGCCGCATAGCAGCACCGTCTCCTCCGTCGCCAACGCCGCTGCCGCCGTTGCCGCGGCCGTCGTCGCCGGCAGCCCCAAACCGTCCGAGCCGCGACCCATCCTACGCGACGAACCCTCCAAGCCCGTTGCCGTCCCCATCGACGGGTCTCTGGCGCGTCCTCATATCCCAGCCGTCCCGCCATATATCGATGCTCAGCTCTTTTCCAACAGTAGCCTGACGGACATGTACATGATGCGCCCGCCTCGCCTGCCGCTTCCTATCGAGGAGGAGGTTCACACGCCTGGCTCGCCCATTCTCGGACCCGACGAGAGCCTGGCCGATCTCGAGCTTGGCGAGTCGTCCGAAGCCTTGACTAGGAAGAGCTCCGCGCTCAGCTCGGGCACGGCCGAGGATGACGAGGGCGAGGAGCTACGCGTAGACAAGACCAGGCCCGTCGTTGCCACCAGGATTGAGTGGAAGGGAGGTGGTGAAAAGATTTGGGTTACGGGTACCATTTTCCACTGGAATCGAAAGCTCCGGTTGCGTCCTGTGTAAGTGCCGTAACCCCATAACAAAGAGAGTGTTGGTGCCTTAGCACGTGCCCACAATGTTTGCACATGTTTCCTCATCTACATGGGCTTTCAACTAACACAATTATGACTTTACAGTGAGGGCCAACCAGGTGTCTTTGCCGCCACGATTCACGTGTTGCCCGGCACCCATCACATCCGCTTCTTGGTTGATGGTATTATGCAGACATCACCCGAGCTCCCCACCACGGTTGATTTTGGAAACAACTTGGTAAACTACATCGAGGTCAATCCCGACGACGTGTTGGCGACCAGAAAGGGCGAAGCCGTCGAGGCTACCGAGGCCGGAAAGGAGAAGAGCGAGTCTCAAGCCGATTCCGAGTCCAAGGAAGAGCCCAAGGTGGCTAGGGGAAAGCCCGTCTTGCCGCAAGAGGCTTACAATGGGCAAATCCCACAGTACCTGCTCGATTTCGACCAGGCTGAGGAATCGCCGGCCTATCGCAATGCCGTGTCCGCCATAGAGAAGCTGACGACCCCACCGAGCCTGCCCGGCTTCCTGGGCAAGCCAATCCTCAACGCTGCCACCCTGATGAAGGACGACAACAGCGTCTTGAACATGCCCAACCATACCGTTCTGAATCACCTTGCGACCAGCAGTATCAAAAACAATGTTCTGGCTGTGTCAGCAACTACTAGATATCACAACAAGGTTAGTTTGAATGTCGGGAGTTTAAGGGGGGGAGGACTTTTATCGCTGGGGGGGTATTCGCTAACAGTTTACTGCTCTACAGTATGTCACCACAATTATTTACAAGCCTACCTCCACAGATGAAGGTTAAAAGGTCGTCTCCATAAGCAATGAGAGATGGGGAGCAAGGCGGATGAAGACGAGGAGGGTGGTCGAAGACGCCGCTTCATGGCGTTTCACAGAGGGTTAATGTGTATTATTTTTCTTTCTTTCTTTTTTTTTTGTTTGCCGCGCGGGGGGGGGGGGGGGGGGGGGGGGGGGGGGGGGGGGGGGGGGGGGGGGGGGGGGGGGGGGGGGGGGGGTTGAGGAGTAAAAAAGAAACGAAGAAACATTCAAGATGGATGTCGCACAACCGCTTACATGAACATGACACCAGACCGACGCATATCCCGATGACCAGGCGGATGTCGACTCGACCTATGGCTCCGATCAAGACTCGACCTACACCGGCTCCATCACGTCGTCCATCTACAACTACCAGTACGAAAACGGCCGCCGCTACCACGCCTACAGAGAGGGCCAGTACGTGCTGCCCAACGACCAGCAGGAACAGGAGCGGCTCGATCTCCAGCATCACATATGGCGGCTCCTCGTCGGCGGCCGCCTCTTCACGGCGCCCCTGCCGACGCACACCGGCGAGGACGAGGACGAGGACGAGCTGCGCATCCTGGACCTGGGCACGGGCACGGGCATCTGGGCCATTGACATGGCCGACGAGTTCCCCAACGCGGCCGTCTTCGGCGTGGACCTGTCGCCGATCCAGCCCGACTGGGTGCCCAACAACTGCCGCTTCCACGTCGACGACTACGAGGACCAGTGGACGTACCACGAGGACGAAAAGTTCGACTACATCCACGGGCGCGCCCTCAGCGGCACGTCGGCCGACTGGCCGCGCTTCTACCGGCAGGTGATGGAGAACCTCAAGCCCGGCGGGTGGCTCGAGATGCAGGAGTACGACGCGTGGATCTTTAGCGACGACGACAGCTGCGACCGCGCGCCGTGGACGATGGAATGGGTCGACAAGCTGGATGCCGCGAGCAGGATGTACGGCAAGCAGATTAATGTGGCGCGGCATCAGAAGCAGTGGATCATTGACGCAGGGTTCGAGGACGTTGAGGAGAAGGTATACAGAGTACGTTGGAAGCCTTCTTCTGGCATTGGCATTCTTCTACAGGTCAAACCATGAAGCAAGCAAGCTAACGAAACAGCAGATACCAATCGGACCGTGGGCCAAGGATCCTACGCTAAAGGAGCTGGGCAAGTTTGAGCTCACGCACATGCAAATGTCTGTCGACTCGCACACGCCGGCGCTCTTCACCCGCGTGTTGAACTATTCCAAAGACCAGGCGGACGTGCTGATGGAGGGCGTCAAGCGGGAGTTTCGAAGCCGGGACCTCAGGCTGATTACTTGCTACCGGTTCATCGTGGGGAGGAAACCGCTTGACTCGTAGGAGGGAGGAGTGGGAGGGGGTGGTAGATGAGGCGAAACTGGGTGCTGATGGAGCGGGCTTTTCATTTTGCCAAGCTCTCAGCGAGGACATGTGTATGATGGGATATGGAGATGGTGGGGGGAGGGCTTGGGATGTTGTTCTTGTCTTGGTTTTGCTGTTGAGCGTTCATTTGGCATGGAATTTGAATAAAGCCATAGGCATTTTTGCTATTCGTGAAGATGGGCAGCGTATCACCACTCTCGTGTACTATGCTACTATATTGAGTCTGACTTTAATCACAACTTGTAAATGTGCATAAATAAGTCAAACTCATCCTTGCCTGCCTTGGACGTATGTATCTTGGACCACCGCGCTCAAGTACCAGATACAATGCCCCAGAGCCGGAAGCTCATCCAAGCATGTCCTTGTAGACGTCGACGCGGATGCACAGTACTCGTAAATGGTCTGCCATTATTGGGTGAGACAAGAGGCCATCAAGGGGCGGGTCACCTGCAGCCTCTGCATTAGCTGTCAGCGCAAGGCAGCCTTGAAAGACAAATCGAAATGCTTGTTTGCTGACATTGAGGTGGTTGGGCTCAGTTCGGGTTTTATTCTGGATTCCATCGAAATGCGAGCTGCCTGTAGCATACATGTAATGATGCGGGCTGGGATGATAGACCTGGCGTTGATACCCCGAAGACGACGCACAGCCAGTGTCAATGAAGGCGACAGATTCACAAGTTTCGAGCATACATCCATTGCAACAATGAATCAAAATCCAGGCATCAGTTCTCAATTATTACAACCACAAGAAGCAAGGCGAGCACAGCCCCACGTGGCGTCCGCAAGGCTGTGTGCCAGCTGAGCAACGAACTCGATCAAGTGAAGCGCGCATAAGAACTAACAACTCTACCTACTGGATCCAGTCCTCAATCTTTTCCACCTCATCTCACCGACCATTGAGCCTCGTAGGGCTCATGCGGCTGATTGGATTCGCCCTGGAAACGCGGCTTCATACCCGTCAGTCCTAGTGTTCTCTTTGCTTCTGGCCGAGCTTCCATTTTGACTCGCTCACACACTCTCAACTTTCGCCCACACACGCCCGTCGTAACCCGAGCTAAACATAAACGGGGAAGAGCTATAAATAATAATTTTTTTTCCGTCTTCTTCAAATCAGCCCGAGGAATCAGGCACGATGAGCTCTACCGGGGGCTCGCAGCGCGCAAACGAAGTCAACAGCGCCATGCTCAACATCCCGGGATATGCAGACGACACGATGCTCTTCATGATGCGATGGGGGAGCCTGGCCCAGGTATGTATGACCTCATATTTCCTTGATTCCACTGGCATGTTTCTTTCTTTTCCCCCTCTGTTCTGCCTCGACTTTCATTCGTTCGCCGTTTTCATGTTTATTCTTTCAAATTCATAAAACCCACAAAGAAAAAAAGCCCCATCTCCATAATCTTACACCGGCAGCTCCACCGAAAAAGTAAGACACCTGACGCATTGGGGCCTCGTCTGCCGCTTTCGGGCTGGATTGGATGGCGATGGCTTTTTGATGTGGTGAACATGCCACACCCAGCCCAGCCCAGTCACACAACTCGGGTTACATGATCAACCCTATTTTATCATTTTCACAATCTATTTTTCGCTTTTTTTTTCTTTCTCCAACATGTGATGAGGGGGGGGGAGACATGGCTTGTTGTGTCAATTATACGAGGTCTTACCGGCCGCTGCCATTGGCTTTTTTTGCCCTCGTATGACTCAACCGATGATTGCCTCCTGGGTATCAAGCGATGCCCTTCACAAGCACTTTTTTTGGAATTTCATGCATCTTTGCAGAGTACCTACGAGTTACATGTATTGTACCTACAAAGTGGTAGAAAAACAAAGAGGCTGATGTGGTGCTTGAATCGCTTCGGCATTCGCCCGGCAATCAGGCGACGCTACGTAAAGTCGACTATGACGAATTCCTCGTCCGCCTGTCGGCCCTGAACAAACATTGGTTTGCGAGCCAGAGAACAGGCGGAAGCCCCGTCAGCGTCGTCGGCACCCGCGGCAGCGGCCAGGGCGACGACGGAGGGCCAAAAGCAGCAGCAGCAGCAGCAGCAGCAGCAGAAGCGGCTAGCTGTGAGGATGACAGAGACGGAGGAGGCGTCCACACAGGCGACGACGACGATGCCGTGGATCCGCTCCTCCAGGCCGCTGAGCTCAAGGCCCGGACGCTGGAGCTGGTTGAGGATTTTCCGCAGCTGGTACGCGATTTTGACAAGTTTGTCGACTGTACCAGGGTCATGGCGGCCAAGTATGGCAGGGCACCAGCATGAGATGCTGTCATGTTTGATCACGAGTACTCCGTAGTAGGTACTAGATGGGCAGCATAAGCGATATCAAAAGAAAAAGACACACGGACAGAGAGGAATGTACTTTGCATGTAACTACTAAACGAGAAGTCGAGGTCTGTGGTAACGTTGGAATCCGCTTATCAAGTGGTGCCAAATTGCTTCATTAAACAACCAGCGTTCTAGGCGCCTAAAATAAAAGGGACAAGGATCATATCATCTCACACCCCCCCAGTCAGTGGTCATAATGATCACGTCTTTTTTTAATCTTTATCGCACACTAAAGGAATACGGTCACACAATTCACATTTGGGAAGGAAGAAAAAACAGGTTTTTAGAGGGAATTGCCTTTTGCATTAATTACTATTATCTGTTTTCGGCGGATTCCAACCAAACTCGCGCAAACGAGTTCCTCTCCTCCCCATCCATCCATCCTCCTCCGAGGAAAAAAAAATCGACCAAAACAGTTTCCCAGTCAGAAGAATGAATTTCGTATCACATCTGCCGGCGCATCACACAATAACAAGAGAGAAAAAAAACAGAAAAAGCACACAATTATTTCCAATTCCGGAAAATTGTAGAAAACGCCATCTTTCCCGGGGCAGACAAGACCTCTAGATGGTATGTCGCACTTTATGCAAAAGTCGAGAGAAGTAGCAAAGGTGAAAATGAAAAAAGTCTTTTGCGAAAAAGAAAAGTAGAAGAAAAAAAGCACAAAAATGGTCGTCGCCGACGCCAAAGATCTCCTTCCCCGAGCCAGCCGTGGTTGTTTTTCGTTGACGGAGGACCCGATTAGTGTTGCGGCCCCGGACACGCCGGCTCCGGGGAAAAGAGGATCAAAAGGCTGGGAATTGACTGTTTACATCCTGAGCGCCCATCTTCTCCTGTCGTAGAGGAGAAGATGTCTTTCGCTTCCAAGATGTCCGACGAACTAAAAATTTGTTCTTCCTTCTTTGTTCTCTTTCAATTCCCCATCCCCCCAAGTTTCCTTGTTTTTCCTCCCGGTGTTTCCTGACACAACACAAAGCCTTGGATCCTCAAGGCAGTGGAAAGCCAAGCAAGGGGCGCGAGTCGCTTAGAGGTTGGCAGCGAAGACGGCGGCGGCACCGACACCGAGGAGGATGTTCTGAGACAGGGAGCCGGCTGCGTTGGTGGGAGCAGAGGTGGGCTTGCCAGTCTGGGTGACGCTGGTGCCGTTGGTGGGAGAGGCAGTGCCGCCAGTCTGGGCCATGGCGGTGGCAGCGAAGAGGGCGACGACAGCAGCAGCACGCATTTTGAAGGTGTTTGTGTGTGGGTGGTTTGGGTGGTTTGGGTTTTGGTTGTTTGGAGGTTTGTGAGAGAGTTTTAACGAATGGAATTGTTCGGCTGTGGGTTGATGGAAGTAAGAAGGAAGAGGGAGAAAAAAACAAAAGCTGACAACGAAAGTCTGGCTCGCTTTATATCTCGGTCTGGATGGGATGATAAAGCATGGCAGAGCGCAAAAACGGGCCCCAGAAGAAGAAAAAAAAGGAGCCCAGCCCACCATCATGCAAACGCGCACGCCCCTGTCCATCCCACCCCTGAAGAGGCGCAACCGGGGTCAGGGATGTGCTGGTGCTAGTTGCTAGTAGATTCCACCTGGACGTACGAGTAGCGGTTAGTGCTGCTGCGACATGCCAATGACTTGTTCCCAGCAGATCACCGCGTTAGTAGTCAGTTGCGGTTTTGCAGTTGCGGGTGCGGTGCTGGAGGCTGGTTATCGCGTCATGCTCGCCACTTTGCCTGATGCGGCCGAGACGGATGATTGCGTGGTGTGCACTATCAGCAGCTGCTGTGCTGTGCCGTTTTGGATGCAACAGAATGTAGCCTGCTGGGGCTGTGAGTTGGTACATTTGCCTGTGCTGTGCTGTGCTGCGCTGCGCTGCGCTGCGCTGCGCTGTGCCATCCATTTCGGCCCTTGAGCCGCTAACAGCTACAAACGCGTAGACATCCATTAGCATAGCATAGCCCCCCATGTCAGGATGCCGGATATATCATGTTGGATCGATATATATAGAACAAGGGCAGATTACAGTACTACCACAGCTACCGTACAGCAGCACAGTACGCTAACAGCACCAACAGCTGTTCAATACAGCACTGTATTGTACAGTACTGTTACAATGCCGACCCGTCCCAGTTCTTTGTCCCATGGACAAGCTCCCTCGTCGGACCCGGAGTGCGGCGCCCATGTACCCGTTACCCGTGCGGTGGACGCAGCGGTACTTTGCCCAGACTTACGCAAGCCGCCCAATGGCCCTCAACTTCCAAGCAAGGGGGGAGGCAGCGGCCGGAACCTCCGACGACAAGCCATCCTGTCACTCAAACCGTCTGCCTCTCTTTTTTATGCTTTGTGATTGAATTCTTTGCTGAGCCGCCCGGTTGAATATCCTTTTCGACGCCATTCCAATGCCACCTGTATGGCACTACGCCAGAGTGACGGGGTGTTTTAGCCAGCCGCCGTTTTGTCTGTTCTTGTTCTCGTACGAAGTAGCATGTAGCTACAAGGTTCGACTGAATGGGGATGGGGAGGGCGGATGCTTTGTTTTCTTGGTTTCAATCAATCTTTCTTGGCCTTTTTTCCCCCTCTTCTTCTTTGTGCAGGCTGCATGCGAAAAATGACCTCCTACTGCGCTCCACGCAGCGGGCGGAGATAATCGATGCGATGCGGATGCGGTGCCCAGCCCAGCCCAGGCACGCGAAATAAAAAGAGGCATATTTTAGAGTTGTGCCGAGTTGGTCAGAGACACGAGGACTCGACGAATGAATCATGCTGCATGTAATACAATGAAGACGAAAATCAAAGTACCGGTACCCGAGACCCGTGTGTTGCTGCGCCCAGCACCACCACCAACCACATCACATCCGTCTTGGGATCAAAATGCAATGCATGCGGCTGAGACACTTGTCGAGGATGGGGGTGAGGTGTTTGTGCGATTGCGATAGCCAGCAGGGCCTTCTCGGCAATAAATCCAATAGACGGTACATGTACCGCCCGCCGGAAATGTCCAAGTTACATTGCCTGCCACACCACACCAAAAGATAGCCTTATCTCTTCGCGTGCCTATCTCTGTACAATTACTTCATCCCCTATCTCTGGCTCTTTCTTATCCGTCGTTAGCGCCACAACCTCGCCGGGTTGGGAAAAGCCCCATCACCGCTACCTCTTCCTCTTGCAACCATCACCATCCCAAAAGCGAACAGACGAACCGAACAGGATGAAGACAGAAAATCAACAACACGGACAAGAATTGAGATTGAGGCTTTTCTCGCCTACCCGTACAGACGAGGGGCTGAACTGAGCTGGGCAAGCCACGGTAGCTCCTCCCCCCCAACCCCCCCAAGCCACTGGCCCTCTCGGATCAGCAAACAGCAAACCAGAGTCCACCTCCGTCCCACGCCTGGCTGCTTGCTTTTGCTCCACTGCTGCGACATTCTTGCACAGTAGTCGAGGATTTCCGCACTTGGCCTCTTCATCCCGGGCTGCTCTTTTTGCTTCTTGGGGGGGATCCTGGAGGGGGGCATACGCGTCATCAGGGAGGACCACTTCTTTGCTTCCGGCCAAAAGGCGTCTAGCTATGTTGAATTTCCAAGGGTTTTATCTTTTTATCTTTTTTTTCTTCTGCTTTTCTTGCGAAAACTGGGAAAAAGCGGGCGGCCCGAGTGGGTTTCTCTATCTCTTTGGGGGAGGACCAAGAGGAGAAGAGAGACCCAGGCCATTTTTTTGCTGCCTTGGGTGAGGATGGAAGCTCCAGCTTTTCTTGGTGCTGGGTCACCGTGCCATCCGATATGCTCGTGGCTGGTGCATTGATAACGATTGGGCCCTGGCAATGGCGTGACGGGGGGGGATTTGCCCAATGCTCGATGCTTGTTTTTTTTCTTTTGCCTGTAAGACGACCATGTACATGGACTGGTTAGGTGTGCACTGTGCGTTCTGAGGTATCACAGCGCATGTTGTTCGTCACCTCGCTAAGCCGCAATTGCAACTCTGCGGTGCAGCATTGTAACACGTCGTATAGTGCCTCTTTCGTATTAAGACAAGAGTTCTGATTAATGTTGGTGTTTTTATCTTTGCTCTATTGCTTTGTCCTCTCTCAGCCCAAGTTGTCTCGCTCACATTTCACCGTGTCTCTCCTCCCCGTCTTTGTTCCCCGGCATACCGTTTTCTGCTACGACTTGCTGCTAGTAGTCCCCGTTTCTTTTTTTTTCCCATGTTCCATATATTTTTTCCCATAGCTTTGAAACAGCGCGGGTCCCTCCCCTTTCAAGGTCCTTGTTCTTCTCTAGACAGGGGGATGCGGTAAAAGGAGAAAGACGCAAGATTAGGAGTGGACACGCAGTGCTCCGTCGGGTGGATCTTCTCAAACCGCCGTGCGTCTGCCGATCTGGGATAGTAATGGCTCACAAAGCTTGGCCCTGTGTCGCCCTTTGAGAAGAACTACTGTGTCTTGGCAAGGCTTCGCGTGCTGGACCGTGACATGGGGGGGAGGAGAGCAAGAGCTTTGATGCAGCTACAGGTGAAGGCAGGATCCGTATTACATGTGCTGAGGCGGGATACAGTAAGCAAGAGTACAGAACAGTACAGTACCTTGGGTAGTGTGTTGCTCTGGTGTGTACTCGTATGTGGTTTTTTTTCCGCGCAGTTGATTGCTCGGCACATCTAGCAACTGCCGCTTTTGTTAACGGCACTATTCTCTACACAGACCTTTGCGGTAGCTGTGCTGAACACGCCTAGCAGACATTGGGATAAAGGCAACAAGAAGGCAAGATTGGTAGATATGCAGGTAGGCCAGAAAACGCCGAAGGGCATGTATGCACTCGTACTACCAGCTGGCTCGGCAATAAAGTGAAACGCTTCCGCCCGCCAACCTCGCCGTAAAGGGGGGGCGTGCGAAAGAAATTGATGAGATGGGAAGATCGCGATGTATCGGAAACATCATCGTTTCTTTTTTTTTGTGCGGTAAACTGGCATTTGCGCATTGACGAGCTAGCAAGTTGTCAAAAGAACGGCAAGAATAAAAGAACACGGGCAGAAATGAAATTGGCCGTTTCAATCTTTCTTGCGGCAATTCTCCGAGCGATCACCGCGCCACAATATGCAAGGTACGGACGACGCTATGAGAGATTGAAGTCGTTTGATGCCGCCGTTCTTAGTCCATCAAGTGTCATTGCTACATGTGTGTGTGTTCCGTACAGTACGAGCACTTTGCCACAGCGAACATGATCTGCAAAGGGGGAGAAGGGCGAGGCGAGGAATACCGGGTCCGCGCGTCAGAGGAATAAATAGAAACATGTCGAAATCAGGGAAATGACGCTTTGTTTTTTGTTACGGATACGGAGACGGGTTGTGTAAAATGAGAAGCGCTCGTAATAGAAGCCGCATGCAGCCAATGAACCTTGGGTACAGCGTACAGGAACCGCAGGTGAAGAGTACATGCTGTAATACGGTATAGGTACGGGAAACAGCAAATACAGTCCAAGTGCAGGTGAGAATTGACCGTTTTCCGTTTCGTTTCCTTGCTTAATTGCAACTGTTGCGGCAAGCCGGAGATGGGTATCAATATTCCCACATCAAAGTTTCAATAACATGGACCTTCTGTAACAAGGAGGTCCGTGAGCTGCGTCTGCGTTTTCCCTGCTTTCGTCCTTCGGGTCGGGAATACCCAATACGCACCACGGTTGCGCGTCCACACTACAGTATTCTACTAAATTTAATTTCAATATTTCATTTGTTTGTCTTTTTTTGATTAAATATTCCGTTTTATATAATTCCCGTCATGCGCCAAGTCCCCCGTACATACCATCCGTAGAATAGATTAATCCATTTACACAGCACTAACATCACGTCCAAGAAACCATCGAAAATGCGTAAATTCCCAAGTTCCAGCGCCCCCCTTGGCAACATCAAAAACGCACACCGGACACCGCAAACGCTAAAACCGCGAACGTGGGCTCAAACACCCCCCAAAGTCGCCACTGCGGAACCGCCTCTCTCTAGGCGGTCTCAGCGCACGGCCAGCCGCCAAGCAATAGCGCTGCAGGGCCGCCATTTGCCGTCCGCTGGTGCTGCCCTTGAGGTCCAGCGCGAATCCCTCCAGCGTCTGGTCCAATCGCCGGCCGTCAAGCAAACCACATCAGCATCCAGCCCCTGGATCGCTGCAGGTACAAGCACCATCCCCTTGCTCCATGGATGCTCATCTTGTTCAAAAATGTCATGGATCAATGCTTCTTTTTTCTTTTTTTTTCCTCCTTCCGTGGCAGCCGAAGTCCACCGCAATTGCTCACAGAATCCCAGCTCCCCCCCAATCTCGGCTGCTTCTTCTAGACTCCTCTTGGCTTTTTCTGTGCTAAAAAAAGGGCACCCAAGGTAGGTGGAGGTACTCGCACACGCACCCGTAATTTGCTGCTGCTTCAGGTACCTACCACGGGGGTCTGGCCCGCATCTTTCTCCCCCCCCTTGCCGTTGAACCGGGGACTTCGGCCGTAATCCAGCGTCTCTTCTCATGTATGTTCAATGTTGCTTTTTTATTTCTCTCACTCCCATCGCCCGCAAAATGTGCTTCCCCCCGGGTGCCCCCATGTAAGCTTTGGAGCTTCTGGAATCTGGAACACGCTCGTCTCGCTTCGATGGGACTCCACCGTTTTGCTTCTCGGGCTACGGCTGGGCGTCTCTTGAGGCAGCGGTGTGAGGGCCAATTTCTTTCCTCTCCGGCCTCTCTCCTCTCTTCCAACGGGTGAATTCCGATGTGTCTTCTTCGAAACGGTAAATACGGTAGGCGAGGGAGAACAACTTTGAATTTTGATTCCACCTCACGTGTCCGCCGAGAGATACTCCTGACGAGCACTTGTTTACCGCCATCTGTCACTCCTTTGCATTCATCCCATATCACACAATCCCCCCACGACGCTCCAACATCCTCATCCCCCTGCAAAGATACCACCACCAACCGAGATAGTAGATACCCGTGGCATTCAAATCGAGGAGATTGTCACTGCCAAGCGGTCAAAAGTTGCACGAACCCACGCACCCCCCCAAGCGGTCAAGGCCCCTTCCCACGCCCACCCCTTTCCCTTTTCCTCCATCCTCCCAAAAAGAAACAGAAAGAAAAAAAGCTTATCGACCCAACGAAACCACATCGTGGGCGAGATCCAGATCTCAACCAGGGGAACAAAATATTCTCCAGCCCCGTTTTCAATACCATGGCCCTTCCGTACTTGTGTGCTCCGTGCCGGCAAGTTCCTCCCCCTTGGAGCCCTTTTGATTTCTTCTGTAATCTCGCTACTTCGGTAGCTTCAGGCGCTATACTTTGTTACACGTTGTTGCCTTGCTAGAAAAAAAAAACCCCTGGCATGCAACATGGAATCAATCCAATCAATCCCGCTTCGACTGGCGTAGTTTCGGGAGCTAGCAATGCCGGGGAGTTGGGTGACTGTCTACGGAGTACTTTGTCCGTGTTGGTCTACTATTTGATGAAGCGTTGTGATGGTTCTATCAACGCGTGTATTGCTACTTCTGCAGGATACTGCCAGATGATATGAACCAGCAGCACGCGAGCTGGGTAAGCTAAAAGCGTAGAGATGTGAAAACTACCAGGACCATGTAAAAGACAGCCATCGTAGCTTAGAGCAACGTCCTGTCGTTAGACAAAACGATATAAGCATCCTTCCCCTCACACCTAACCTGTACCGACATCACAAAGTCTTTTCGAAAAAAAAAATGAGCACTATATTATTATGAGAGAGAAGCTCAGTGAGAATCAATAACCACAACGCCTAAACAAATGTCATAAGTACGGCTATACAATGCAAAATGATCTATATATAGAGAAAAAGTTCACCACTCGCCAGAAACAAATCCATCACGTCATTAGGCTGCACAGAGCCCCGTCCGTCAGTTCCCCCCCCGACCTCGCTGTGATGAGGCAATGGAAAAACAAAATGCATGCAGAAAAAAGAGACAAGGAAATAACCCTTCGAGTGGAGTAGCTTTCTTAAAGCTCTCTCACAGGATCTTCCTGATCCTGGATAGCAGGCTTATATAGCTTGGAGCATGATATCAAATACCACCTCAAATGTCTGTCATCGCCCCCCTTTTTTTGGCTGTTGTTGTTGTGGCTGTATTTTGATCGCCGAGAGTTGAGGATTTAGTGAGCACCATTCACCTCGCCGTTGGTAGCGGGCACATCTTCGGCCAAGCCAATGAGGACAGAAAACTGTCCACCAGCACCGGCAGCAATAATCTTCTTGTCTCTGGTGGCAGTGTTATCGATATGGGTAGGGACATGGATGTCGTCGATGGTGCCCTGGCCAGTCTGGTAGTTGCTCGAAAAGCCCCAGGAGTAGGCCTTGCCGTCCTTGCTAACGGCAAAGCTGTTGTCGGTACCGGCAGCAACCGAGATGATATCAGAGATACCTGGGAAATGGTTAGCATAAAACTTATCGCTATAATCGTAATGGGACATCTACTTGCCTTCGTGCTTTGTGGGCTTGATGAGGATTCTGGCAGTGCCTCTCTCGTCCCGGATGACGTACTCCTTGTCGACCTTTTCAATAGCCTCGAGCTCAAAGCCAACCTGGTAACCGTCAACGCGGCCCCAAGCAAATAGCTCTCCCTTCTCGGTGCATGCTAGAGAGTGATGGATACCACCCTCAATAGCCGTGACGGTGTGGTCGGCGAGGAAGGTGATCTTGACGGGCTTGAGGATGACGGCGTCGTCCTCGCCGGCGTTGCTCTCAACACCAATCTCGCCAAAGTTGTTCAAGCCCCAGCCCCATACGGCTCCCTTGTTGTCAATGGCGAAGCTGTGGTACGAGCCGCAGGCAATCTTGGCAATCTTGCCTCGAGGCAGGCCGACTCCCTGGGGGATCAGAGAAGACATCTTGTTGCGCTCAATGATGCGTCGGCCGAGCTGATTCTGCTGGCCGCATCCCCAAGCCACAACGTTGTTCTTGCTGTCAAGCGCGAGGATGTGGTTGGCTCCGGCAGCGAGAGCCTTGATGTTCTTCAGGCCAGCAACGAGGGCAGGTCGCGTCTGAACCCTGACGCCCTCCGTAAAGCCCAGAATACCATCGCTGGATCGGAAAGTACCCCATCCGTAGACACGTCCGTCTTCCGTAAGCACAAAGGAGGCGCTGTCGCTAGCAACGACCTGAACGAACTTGGTGCCGGGGGCAAAGTCCTCCTCAGACAGGGCGGTCGGCGTGCTCTCCTTGGGGTTGATGCCGGTGTCATCTTCATCCTCGGAGTCGGAGTCGTCAGCCTTGTCGAGGTCCCGCAATCCGCCGTCCCAGTTTGTGTCTCGGCCCAGAGCGCCCTGGTCGTTGACGCCCCAGGTGAGGATCTTGTTGTCGCGAGTAAGCGCAACGACATGCATACCGCCGCATGCAATCTGTACAACTCCGACTGTCTTGGCCGAGAGGTTGTCGTTGAGTCGGGGACGCTTCACATCGATAGGCTTCTTGCCGTTGATGCGCTTGCTTCCCAGTCCGAGCTCGCCCGAAGTACCTTCGCCAAAGACATAAATGTCCAAAACTTGCGTGGGAGCGTCGTTGATCTTCTTTCCAATGTCGGGGAAAGAGGGCTTCTTGGCCTTGGCCTTGGCCGGTGCGGCGCGCGGCTCCTTGTCAGTCTTGCTCTTCTTGGGCTGGGGCTCTGCCATGACGACGTCTTGGTCCTGCTCGTCCTCCGTCTCTGAAGCCTTTCGCTTGACGGCGGGGGCGCCATTTGTCACGGGCTTCTCATCCTCAGTCTTTTCGTCAGTCTTTTCGTCGGCCTTGTCCTTGACGACGGCCTTTGCGCTGGCCTTGGCTGGCTTCTCATCCTTCTTGGCGGCTTTGGTTGTTGTCGCCTTGGCGGCGGCGGCGGTCTTGGATGTCGCCTTTGCGCTGGCCTTGGTCGCGGCAGGCTTCTTGGCGTCTGAAGCCGCCTTGGAGGCAGCGGGCTTTGCGACCTTGGGAGGCATCGCGACGCGCTGGTTTATATAAAAGGTGGCTTTGGGGTCTGCTTGATAAGCGAAGGGGTGAAAGGGACGGGATCAGGCGCTGTGCTCGCGGGAGCGCGAAGGAAGCTTCAATTGCAGTGGCAAATGCGATGCGGCGCTTCCAAAGGGCCCCGAATCAAATTCTGCGTTATCTGATGGTGATGAAGAGACAAAGCGCACGCTGCGAGGTGGTCTGTGGTAGTTATAGGAGTGGCTCGACGATGGCAGGACGCGACCAGGTGAGATTTTTTGCCCAGCCCTGGTGGGTGGCACAGAGAAGTGGCTCCACACAAGGTAGGAACTTTACCAGAGCTACAGCTCAAAAGGGCTGACCGCTCTTGATTTGTCCGGCAGTTAAATTGGCGGCGGCCAATGAGCGGCGTGTTTGGGGTCTCGCGCGGGCGGTGAATCGCAGCCCAAAATTACATAATGCCAGCAGACAGCCCGTGTGTGACCTGATGTGCTGACTTTTGAACGAGATTGATTCAGCGCTTTCTCACTTGTTGCTCAGCAAGGAGCCGCAGGTCGTACCCAATCGAGGCTAGCACGTTCAGATTGAGCTCATCATCTTCTTCTGTTGTCTTTGCTTTGAATTGGTTTTAAATTGTACTTATTCAGCTTATTATGCTACAAGTATACAATGCCTCCAAAGAGGGAGGACATGGTGCCACCAAAACGCCAGTCCCAATGTGTTGTGCATGTCAACAATAACAAATGGCACGGCCCAAGCCCGATAGAGTAAAGGCACCCGCACTTTAGGCGACGGCCGCCCTGCCAAAATCTACGAGTATGTGTGTGCAACTCGTTCGTATAAGTGCATGCAACATGCAACATGCGGCCCCATCGCTGCAAGCGTGCAGCCAAAATAGTGTTATAACTGTAATCTACCAGCAGTAGTCCTGCATTCCGTTGCCCGCCCTGAACGCCGCCCTTGACCGCAGTCTCAAATGAGGATATTAATAAAAATACAAATAAAATAATGGTGATTTAAAGAAGGGAGAGGAGCGGTTAAGCACCTCTCGGCAGATGGATCGCTTTTTATTTGGCAAAGTTGGTAAAGTCAATCTCGTTGGCCGGGTTGTAGCCGCCATCGGTGGCCTTTTCGCAAGTGCACGCAGCTAAACCGTCACAAGTCAGCACAAGTTCAACTCTTCCGCTTCTGATATACTGTAGATGAGCACTTACCAGCTGGTCGAGCACCGCACTGGCAGGCTGAGCCTGACACGGGCGCGTTCTCTGTAGAGGCGCGGTCGCAGGTGCACTGGCCGGCGGGACGAGCACGGCACGAGCAGCGCGGGCCCTCGACAGCATTCTCGGCGGTGGCTTTGCCGCAGGAGCAGTGAAGGGCGGATTCCTTGCCGCAGGAGCAGGTGGCCTTTTGGGCTATTTGGGATTCATGTTAGATCTGGTGTTGGTGTAGCTGAGAGTGGATTCCATGGTGTATTGTATTCCAACTTACCACAAGCACACTCGGCGTCGGTGCCCTGGCGGCAGCAAGTAGAGGCCTTGGCAGCAGTCATTTTGGCGGTTGTGTTTGGTTGAGGAAGAAGAGTTGGAAGAATCGTTCAAGTCTTGAAGGTCGACTGTATATACTGAGCTGAGTAGAGAAGACGCAGATGCTTTGCTTGATCAGGATGTCCAGCTTAGAAGCCGGACAGTGACGTCTTTTGTACCTGATGCTCGGTCCACTCAGCCTTGACGCCGCCGGGCTGATGACGGTCGATTTGGGTCAAATTGCGGCGACGCCCATTGGCTCACAGGAGGTGGCGTGGCGAGTGGCCAATCAGAGTGCGGGCATTTGCAAGCACCTGGTTGCAGCCTTGGATAAGGCTTGGATAAGGCTTCTAAGCAGACTATCCGCGTGGATCGATGCTGGAAATCGTTCGGTTTCCCCTTTGAGTTGCTTGATGATTGGCCCATTATCGGCGTCCTGGTTCATCTGTGGCAAAGCTCAATGAGATTTGTTGTGGTGAAGGATACGAGTACGGTAGAAGGTAATAGGGGGATGCGAAGCTACCCTGAAGAACAGACCCAACATTTATTGACATTGTATGATGAGGTCACGAGTTGGTTGATTGAGGGCACTGAACGTATTATTGTTGAGGGTTGCGACACATTACAACAATGGTTTGGTCAACTTACATACAGCGGTGTTGTAGATTCTAGTATCTGTACAAGCTTGGAAGTGGCATCTTGGCTGTCAGACTTACACTAACCGTGAACTGCTACTAAGTAGAAGACATGGTTGGGCGCGATAATAGAGGCTACTCAGTACCTAGTCCAAGATGCTTAATTTTCAGCAAAATCCCCAAGAAACAGTTAGCAACACAAAGAGAAGCGTGCTTCTAGAAAGATGTCTTTGTGAACTACCTTGGTGTTCCTATTGGCGCGAATAACTTGAGCCGGATTTCACGCCACCTCCTCCCTTGAGACGTGGATCGCATCCATCTCATTGTCAATAGACAATTTCATATACATCCTCTACTATTCATCCAAAATAACCAGCACGTTGCCATGCTGCGCTGAACCCTCCACTGCATCAAGATCGCACCTCGGCACCTCGGGCTTCTTTTCGACTTATCGCGATGCCACCATGCAAGGGTCCTACCGGAATGCCACTCGACATGCATACAATGATACTCCAAGAACTGCCAACATACATAAGCGTGCGTCCGAGTTATCGCTACGCCATTGCTAGCAGCGGTTGCCTGTTCCTTCTCACAAGACATGGCCAGCACTAATACTATACCTCGCCTAAGCCGTTCGTCTGACGTGTCCATCCATCAAGATTCTGAACAAGAGGCAACCCCTGGCATGGAATTCAAAGTCCAGACTCTCCCGGGTCATGACTGACTAATGCCAATACCCAAGATCGAAGGCGAAATTTCCCCGCCATGTCAAACATCTTTTTAAGGTTAGAAACTCCCGGGGAAGCATAAAATATGGCTGTCTCGTGCCGCATTAGCGACTTTACCCGGCCCCAAACGACTGGCTGATGACGGCAGCGGTCCAGGATAGGATGCGAACCTGGCACACACGCTGGTTCTCTAATTTGATGCCTTTGAGGATGAGGAGAAATGCTTCAACAGCCGTTTTCGATTACCGAACCATGGCAGGCTTGTGAGTGGTTGGACAGAGGGATGGATGGATGGAACAGAAGCTATTTGGTGTTGGCCGCACTTCTCACTAATAGCGGCCTCCCCTTGGGGTTGCATCCAGCCCGGCCGCTTCTTTCAGGCAAAGCCACATGCATGTTTTTTGCTTTATGAAGGAATCGCAGTGAGATGGTAAGAAAAAGACGAATCCCGGCAAGGTCGCATTTTACTCCCCTGGACAAGAAGGAATTTTGATTTTCGAGCTGCGACAAGTCAAATCCGTTTCCCCTGCAGATGCAGCTTGGCTATTAGCGGGTTTTCCCATTTCAACTTCGGATCGCTCGCTCGTAATTTTTTTCTTTCTTTTCCCTCCTCTTGTTGGCAATTTCGGTAACACGGTATCAAACTTGACGAAACTCGACAGCTACAGTTTCTTTTTTTTTTTTCTTCATTGGGATATCGAAATGGCAGTCAAGGCCGAGGGAGGAAAGACTGAAATATTGACGCGTGATGTGCATCTGGCAGCTGAAAAGGGCCAAGCCGCTACAGATAGGTGAGCACTACCAACTCTTGCATCTTGAAAATCTCAGAGTTCGGGTTCCATGTGTTGTGTATTTGGACCTATTGCTGATCAATATTCATTGCGTTCAAGATATGGCGAAGCCCTCGTCGCATATGATGCCGTAGCTGAGCGCAAGCTGCGGCTCAAGATTGACCTCTTCATCGTCCCAACCGTGGCTCTCCTCTATCTCTTCTGCTTCATTGACCGCGCCAACATTGGTAAGCCGATGCCGAGACACCTGTTCCATCTCCATGTCTTCACTCTGACAAGAAACCTCTGTCATTCACAGGTAATGCAAGAATTGCCGGCCTTGCGAGTGACCTCCACTTAGAGGGAAACGACTACAACGCCGTCATCTCCGTCTTCTTCATCTCCTACATCGTCTTCGAGATCCCAGCGAGCCTGGCGTGTAAATACATCGGGCCCGGCTGGTTTCTACCCATGTCGACGCTCCTCTTTGGCGTCTGCTCACTGGCAACCGGCTATGTCAACACCATGGCCCAGGCCGCCGGCGTTCGCTTCCTTCTTGGAATCTTTGAAGCTGGCATGATGCCCGGAATCGCCTACTACCTGTCTCGCTGGTACCGCCGCTCCGAACTGGCCTTTAGGCTGTCTCTCTACATTGTCATGTCGCCGCTGGCGGGGGCCTTTGGCGGGCTGCTGGCGTCTGCCATCTTGAAGCTCGATCACGTTGGCGGCGTCCGCTCGTGGCGCATGATTTTCGTTGTGGAAGGCATCATCACCATTGGCCTTGGCCTTGTTGGCTTCTTTACTCTGACGGATCGCCCAGAAACTGCGCGATGGCTCTCGCAGGAGGAAAAGGATCTGGCCATTGCACGTGTCAAGTCTGAGCGGGTTGGTACCACTACAGTCTTGGACACCATGGACAGGGTAAAGATTACGAGGGGCATCTTCAACCCCGTGACGCTTAGCACAGCCTTCATATTCCTCTTGAACAACATCACAGTCCAGGGACTGGCGTTTTTTGCCCCAACAATCGTGGCTACTCTGTTCAAGGGCAAGACAACCATCCACCAGCAGCTCCTCACCGTGCCCCCTTATGTGGTGGGAGCCTTCTTCACGGTCTTGTTCCCCCTTCTGAGCTGGCGCCTCGACAGACGCCAGATATTCATCGTCCTCTCCGCCCCCATGGTCATGGTAGGCTACGCAATGTTCCTCGGCTCAACCGACCAAAAAGTCCGCTACGGCGCAACCTTCCTCATCGCCTCCTCCGCATTCGCCCTGGGACCCCTGACAAACGCCCAAGTCGCCGCCAACGTCGTCGGCGACACGGCCCGCAGCGCGGCCATCGGCACCAACGTGATGATGGGCAACGTCGGGGGCCTGATCAGCAGCTGGGCGTTTCTCCCCTTTGACGCACCAAACTACCATATCGGAAACGGGCTCAACTTGGCGACGTCGGGGACGGTCTTGGTGCTGGCTGCGCTGATGCTGGTGTGGATGAAGCGGGATAACAAGAAGCGAGGGAGCGAGGATATTGATGCGGCGTTGGCTGGCTTGACGGAGGAGCAGATTGAGAACTTGGACTGGAAGCATCCGGCCTTCCAGTGGAGATATTGAATGACTTGACATGGAGATATGAATGCTTAATTTTAATCATACGTTTACAGCGCAATTGCATTCTTCTTTTTCATCAGTCGTGAATGTTACAAACGAGTATAAAAGTAGCCACCACGTCTAATGAGTTGTCAAGATTGTAGAAAAGTAAACAAATTAGCTGGCATAGCGACTATTAGTTAGATGTTAGGTTTAAACAAAAGAGACAAGCAAATGACTGTTAGTACATCTATCATACAGCATGTTTATGGCGTTCGTATACAAAAATCCGAGCTTCCATTAATTCAGCCCGCCCCCAAAGCCGTGGAATCGATCGCCCAACGCATGAAACGCCGATTGGTAATACCCCTCGTCCCAGGTCCCCAAGTCTCCATGTGGTGTCAGCTCCCCTGGAGCGTAGAAATGGTCAGGCATTGGAAAGCTGTTGCCAATGTCTCCGTCATTAGGGTCCGCCACGTTGTTGTTCCAAGACTGAACAGCAACAGAGTTCATAGGGCCGGTGACGCCCATGCTTGGCATAAATGACATGTCACCCGAGAAGTTGTGGTCTAGCATGCTCACTGCGGCCGGTGTAGGCACGACTGAGGGATCAGGAACCAAGTTGCTTCCCCGCCTGTGCAGATCTTCCTTGATAGTCCGCACGCTGTCTCGGGGCCCGAGGGCAGAGTTTCTGATGCTGCCGCTTTCGTCGGAACACTCGTCCATCATCACCACTCCAGAGTCTGGCCGAGGAAGTATCTCCCTTCCCTTTCGCGGTATAAGGCTTTGGAAGCTCTGTGCCCGAGATGGCTCATTTCTCTTGTTGCTGCGATTCGTGTAGGGCATGCTCTGCGCGGCGCCGATGCATCGCTCTACAGCCTCCATAAAGCATTGCTGGAACTTGGTGGTCAGGGTCTCCAGCGTTGCCGGATTCGAAATCTTGTCGCGCAGAGAAGAGTGCAGGACTTCAAAGGACGACATGTAGTAATTGGAAAGCTCAAAATGTTCGATAACGGGAGTAAAGTCTACCCAATCAGCATTAGCGAGTTTTCACATTCAAATTCCACAACCCTATAGTGCGTACGGTATTGATGGATCTGATGGTCCTCATCATCTGGAAACAGAATGTTCCAGATTTCTTTCCACTGGGCCTCGGGGGAGGCGCCGCTGGCTCTTTTACGGGATAGGAGCTTGACCGATGTCGTTCCATCTACTCCCGACTCTGGGTCGTGATCCATAATGTCACACATCATCTCCTTGGGCAGACGCTGGTGATCGCGAAGCTCTTTCCGGGTGTGAAAGTCACGGTTGCATCTGTCACAGACAAATGCGGACGGGTCGTCTCTCTTGTGTTGTTTGACAATGTGCTGTCTGTGGGAACGAGTCAGCAACGTGGTGTACACATGCGGGCTGCGTATATATCATGGTAGACAGGCAGGATCAGTTCTTTGCGTACCTTAGCTCAGCAAACTTGGGAAAGTATGTCATGGCACAGCTGTGGTGATCCCTGACATTAAATCGCGACGGGTTCCTCTTCCGATAAGGACAGCTTAGACGTAGATTCTCCTCTTCCTTGGGATTTGGCCGTATCTTCTTGGAGGGGATGTATCCCAGGCCCTCACCCTCGCTGAACTCGCCGTCATCTTCATCCCCTCGGCCTTGCTTCTTCCTCTTGCCGCCGGATTGCGAGTCGCCAGCACCGCTACCGCCCTGAGAAGGGGTCGAGGAGCTGCTTGATGTTGACATGACTTGCGTCATATCGGCGTCTGATGGCGTGGCCCAGAAACAATTCCCGACATCGCCGATAAACTTGCCCACCAGATTCCGCACAGCCGGTGTCACCTTGGACGCGTCCTCTTGAATATCTACCCCAAAAACCAACTGGAGGGTATAATCAAGAATGGCTTCAGTGTCCTGAGAGGAAACGTCGTCCGATGTATACGATGCTGTATCCCACTTGGAGGAGGAGGATGGCTCAATGGTTGATGTCTCAAGCTGCGGCCACTCGTGAGAGTCGCTGGGAGTCAAGCTCTCTTCCTCTTCTTTGATGGGCGAGACGCTGACGGTAAAAGTCAATATACATGAGACCAGAGTTGCCTCTGAAGATCTTCTGTGCTTGCCTTGTAGATTGTTCCAGGCAGTCGCTCTCACTAATAGGAACGGGAGTGCTTGGAGTGGCGACGTGAATCTCCCCTAGCTTAGCGCTGAGGTCTGGATATCCTGCAAAGGAGTAGCCGTCATCGTCATCATTGACGTGGGTTGAACAAAAGGATCCCGTAGAAGACTGGTGCCGATGAAACACGCGGCTGGCAGGACGTGAAGCGTCGATGGAATGCCCGCAAAAGATGTCGCTGAGATCGCTGGCGTAGCTGGTGCTGATGGGACTGGCCAGCGTTGAGTGGGAATAGGTGGTCGCAGAGTCTGGTACGTTTGCCGATGAGATGCTGCTCCTCGTCGAAGCCGTTCTCGAGCGCAGGCGGAACGAGCTAGCAGCAAAATGAAGGCTTTCAGGGAAGTGCTTCCGCTGGCCAAAAGTGGCAGAAAGACCTTGGCTCTCGGTGTGAGATGTCGGCGCAGTCAACGGCTTATCGCTGAGGGAATCTCTAGATCGCGAATCTTGTCGCAGGTGTATGGGAATATGATTGAGAGCGAGGCCTGGTCTTCGATCTGCATGATCAATTGGGCTATCGGCCATGGAGTGAGCCGCTGAGAAGCTGGCCCGTCGCAATGTCATGAAGTGCTAAGGGCGAAAGTTTGAATTATACAAAACCGACTTGGCTCGGACTCTGTCCACTTGTCAGTCACTTGTCCACAGCGCCATGTCGAAGTTGAAAATAACAATGGTTGAGGGGGGGATTAAGGCAGGAAGAACAAGAAGAAACAAGAGACGCTGACCTACATTAAAATTAATTATAGTATATTAATTGCGTGGAGAAAAAAAAGAAAGGATGAAGAAAAGAGAGAACGAAGAAAGGCTGCCTCTCCAGAATGCCTCATCGACGATAGGTGCGGGATCCCCTACTATTATCCGTCTCGAATGCCAGGATCGGGGCGCTGGGGAATGCCTCGCGAACCGCTAAAAACTCGAGCCTGGATGCCTTCTCAAGCCCCCATTCTGCAGTCCTGGACTTTTGCCTGCAGACTCTAGTGCCTGGCGATGGGGCATGGCTTTGCCCAGCTGGGCCATACGACGGCATCCTTCGTGGGGACGAGGGCCGGCGCTGCGCCTCTGATTCGCTCATGGTGACGGCTGTTGCATGGGGAGCACTGCTGACGCAGGCAGAGACGATCTGTCGAGGCAGCCCTATGGTTCGCATCTTGACAGTCGCCAAGTGGCCGAGTTCTGGTTCTCGATCTGGGTCTAGGTTCTTGGTTGAATAGGGACCCTCCTGATACGGCCTCGAGGCCCGTCGAGCAGCCAAACGCGGCAAGTCAAGAAGGGGCACGAATAGGCTAGAAAGTCCAAAAAGACGACGATATCGCGCCGGGGCCCGGCTTGGGGTCTTGGTGTCCGTAAGCGCCAGCTGAAGGCCCGTCATTGTCTCATTGTGTTGTGCCGATACCCCCTGGAGGGATGCGCCTTAATCTCTGATCCGGCGGGACGGCGCGCATTAGTCGAGCGCGTAGGTAGGCAGGATAGATTGATTGTGAACATCGCAATTTCGATCCAGTTGCTATCAGTGGAGGAGTCGTGGAGTTGAGAGTGGTCAGATGGCAGGTTGGGAGGCATCAGTTGAGGCCGGATAAAAATAACGTGCCGGAAAAACCACATCAGGACGCCGCTGCCCATAGCGGACAACTGATGGTGGCTGTCATGGGCTTCCTCTTCATCTTGACACCTTGTTTATCTGGCTTCACAAGTCGACTTCTCTCTTCTCGTTGGCTAATGAAGACTGACTGGCGCATCACGGATACTTTGAACCGGGCCTTGGTGCTCGGGCTTGTTGCACGTCGAGTTGCATGGGGGTCGTTTTTAGCCTTGGGCTGAATTATGCGTACGAGCAGCCCTGGGGAAGTCCTTGCGAGGCTGCTAGCTTTGCAATGGAAGCTATGGATGGATAGGACAATGACAATGCCTGGTTCAATGTTGTTGGTTTATAAGGAGAAGAGACTGGAACTTGTGGTTGAAGGAAGTATATTGAAGGATTCTATTTGAACCTATCTGTATAGACAACACAACATCATCTCTTTGAAGCTCTACAAAAGCAACCCATCTGTCAAGACACGATTCTGAAGCTCTTGATGCTATTCCATTCAGACATTCTTCACATCAAGATCATATCCAATCAATAACCATGAGCGCCTCCCAGCAACCAAACAACGGCTCGACCCAGCTCAACGGGAACCTGAACTCAGCCTCAAGCCCATCCACTGCTTCTGGGTGCGTGTGTGCCGCTTCCACCGCTAAGCTTCCCGGCTCCCTCCCCCCCAAGGCGACCACTAACAACCGCCCAAAACTCGGCTATGTCCGCTAACGCACGCCATCGACGCCTGTAGCACAGCCCAGAGCCCCGCCATGCTCTCCCGGTTCCTCTATGACAGGACAAGCGTGCAAGATCGTCTGGTGGCGCGATCATTTAATGCGGCGACTCCAGGGCCAGGGCACGATGCTGATGCAGCTGAGCTGGAGCATTACATGTTACAAAGCTCAAGCAATGCGCCAGCAGCCGGATCGAATGTTGGACCAGCTTGACTTGATTTGACGTGGATATTTCCGGATGTCATGTATGGAACGGCCGATTTACGAATCATGTATTTTTAGGAACTTGTATAAAATAGAGTGGCAAATATACTACCTAGGCAGTATTGATGATATTACCATACCAGTACCTGTCGTGGGCCTCACAAAGGATTTGATGAATGCGGACTAGAGGCAGTCGGTCCCGAGATGCTTGGCCTTGGCCGTCTGCAGGTGCCATCAAATGCCATGGATGCCATCAAACGGGCGCATTCCTGAGTCTACTGGGGCCGTTATTCTTAGGCATTCTCCATTACTACTATATTGGCCCTTCTAGAACCACTTGAGCCTTACAGAGCCTCACATCTGCAGCGCCAGCTTTGCCTGTTGTGACACAGTCCCGCTCTAGCGGAGATCCCGATTCAATAACACAGAGCATTGGCTACGAATGGGCTTGGAATAGAAAGAAAGAAAGGGGTATCATTGAATCTCTACAGGTGATATACAGGATAAGCCATGTCCAATCAATTCATGTGGCCAACGTCGCGTGTTTCATGAAGCCGCCTGGGCCAGCTTCCTGCGCTTGTTTCTTTCGTCTTGTTCTGCCAGCACTCGAGCGGTCAATGTCGCGGCCATCGAGTTGTTGATGCCTTTGATTCTCGAGTCTGTTTCCTTCTTTGCTCGGCTGGCGTCGTTCTTCTTGGCCTTGTCTTCCTTCTTCTCAGCATCTCCCTCCTCTTCCGCATCTCCGGCCTTTCGCTTCTTCTTCTTGTCCGACTTGCCCTTCTTGAGCGTATGAGTGAGGCCGGTTGCCTGTAATTCTTCGATTCGCCTCTGTAATCTGTCCAAGTCTTTCTCAGCAGTCGGGAGGATGGCTATCACATTCTCTTGGGTAAAGGCTTCTCCGCACTCTGGACAGGCTTCTTCTTTGATCTCTGTAATGGCAACCTCTGCGAATGCGTGGCCGCACGGCACCAGGTAGACGGCCTTTGTCGCTGGTCCCATTTCCTTCATAGAGATTGGGCAAGCCCACTTATCGCCCGTCTTGGAGAATTTCAGCTTTGCAACGTCACGGAGGGAGCGGATGCCCAGAGATGCTGGTGTCACTTCGTTGGGATCGTCGGACGGCATCAGCCCCTTGAGAATGGCTTCATAGCTGTACAGTCTCCCCCGCCAGTCTGAAACCACTGCGTCTAGGTCGAGGGGCGCATCGCTGAGGGCGCAATGAGCCCACGCGTGTGCGAGAGACTCGAGGGCCGTCGCCTTGAGTTCGGAAATTGTCGGTGCGCGCGCCGCGTTCTTGACCAGCTCGCGGCGCTTGGGGATGGATCCGCCATCATTGCCCATGGTTGCCGATCGTAGCGAATGGATGTGTATTGCGGTGTAGGTCTAGTGGTGCTGGATTCGAATGTTTAGACTTTTATGGGACGAGGCGATTCGGAAGTTTATGAGAAAATATATTTCTTCATCAAGTGGCGAGGGTCGACAGAGCGTGACCAAGAATTGGGTGGTTCATTGATGGTGCTAACTTTCCCCTAGTAGTTCCAGGTAGCCGCTGAAAGTGAGATCTCCCTCACTGGCGAATCACCGCTGCCGTTATCGATAGCACTTTCCGAGCCTCATGTGCCGCCCAGTGCTAGCATTAAGCTTTACGCACCGTATCAAACCCCACGTAGCAGGACGAATTACAGTGCAGCTACAGTGCGGACAAACGCGCAGCCATCGATCCTCCAAGCTGTGAGGCTAACGGGCCTTTCCTTGTCCTACCCAACCTTCATTAATCCGGCAACGCAGCTTGTCGGAGGCATCATGACAACGTGACCCTGGGCTGCCAGCGAGGCATTCCTTTGACTGTGTCACATCTTCATCCTTATCTCCTCACGACAACCATCTGCGAATTTTCCCCGACCAAGAGCCTCGACAACCATCGCGCGTCATCCTGTTTTCCTCGGTGCGATTTCGACCCTCTCGGTCGGGCTTCCGCGACTTGTAGCCTCGGTGCGGTACATGTGGCGCTTCCATTGGAAGCTCCAGTCGACTTGGGGACGATGGCGCAGGCACAGCAGGTCGCCCTAGAGCGGCTCGAATATATCACGAGGGGATTGCGGTCAAGGTGAGCTCCCGTGGTGGGGGGGTTTGTAATGTTGATGTTTGGTCCAAGGAATGACGACGCTGATGAGTCGCCCCTCTCCAGGACCAGCGACGATGTGCGCAAGCGATCGGCCATCCAGCTCCGAGAGCTGGTGACTGTATGCCATCGAGGTAAGGCGATGCCGAGTCCGTCTTTGTGCGTTGCGAGGGACTGCTCGATTAACACCCCTGCAGATCTTAGCCCCGAGCAATTCCTCACATTCTACAACAATGTTAACAATAAAATCACCCAACTCATCACACATGGCAGCGACTCCGCAGAGAGGCTAGGCGGTATCTATGCCTTGGATTCTCTCGTTGATTTTGAGGGCGTGGACGTGGCCGCCAAGTATACCCGCTTTACCCAGAACCTAAAGACCATTCTCCGTGGCAAGGACACTATGCCTATGCGGCATGCTGCGATTGCCCTCGGAAAGCTTTGTCGACCTGGAGGGGCCATGATTTCAGAGCTGGTTGACTCCGAGGTAAATACTGCGCTCGAGTGGCTGCAGAATGACCGAGTCGAGGAACGACGATACAGTGCAGTTCTCGTCCTGCGTGAGCTTGCGCGAAATGCACCCACCCTCATGTATCAGTATATCCCGACGATTTTTGATTGGATCTGGGTCGGCCTCCGTGACCCAAGACAGCTCATTCGCGAAACTTCGGCCGAGACCGTCAGCGCTTGTTTCCGCATCATTCGGGAGCGAGACCAGGAGATGAAGCAAATATGGATGAGCAAGATCTACAACGAGGCGAGACAGGGCCTGAAAGTGAACACGGTCGAGTCAATCCACGCATCATTGCTGGTCCTGAAGGAGCTTTTGGAACAAGGTGGCATGTACATGCAAGAGCATTACCAGGAAGCTTGTGACATCGTCTTCAAGCACAAAGATCATCGTGACCCGACCACGCGAAAGACTGTGGTGCTCCTGATACCAGACCTGGCAAGCTACTCGCCAGCCGATTTCGCCCATTCTTGGCTGCACAAGTTCATGGTCTATCTCTCTGGCATGTTGAAAAAGGACAAGGAGCGCAACGACGCTTTCCTCGCCATCGGAAACATAGCAAACTCCGTCAAGAGTGCCATCGCCCCTTATCTGGATGGCGTTCTGATCTACGTGAGAGAAGGTCTCAGCGTCCAATCTCGGAAGAGGGGCTCCGTGGATCCAGTCTTTGACTGTATCAGCCGTCTGGCCGTGGCTGTTGGCCAGACTCTCAGCAAATACATGGAGGCGCTCCTTGACCCCATCTTTGCCTGCGACCTGACGCCTAAACTGACCCAGGCTCTGGTCGACATGGCATTCTATATCCCGCCCGTCAAGCCCATCATCCAAGAAAGGCTGCTGGACATGTTGAGCGTTGTCCTCTGCGGTGAATCCTTCAAGCCTCTCGGCGCGCCGCAGCCAAACACTCTAACCTCGGTGCCGACTATTACAAAGGATGCCAAGGATCCACAGGTGTATGAAAATCGCAAGACGGAGATCAAACTTGCCTTGAACACACTCGGGAGCTTTGATTTCTCTGGTCATGTTCTGAACGAGTTTGTTCGTGACGTGGCCATCAAGTACGTTGAGGATGAGGATCCGGAGATTCGAGAAGCGGCGGCCCTTACTTGTTGCCAGCTTTACGTTCGAGACCCCATTGTCAACCAGACCAGTTATCATGCCCTCCAGGTCGTTGGGGATGTCATTGAAAAGCTACTCACTGTCGGCATATCCGACCCAGAGCCGAATATTCGGCGGACTGTGCTGGCTGCTCTTGACGAACGGTTTGATCGCCACCTGGCCAAGGCAGAAAACATTCGCATCCTCTTCTTCGCTTTGAACGACGAAGTCTTCTCTATCAGGGAAGTTGCCATCTCTATTATTGGCCGACTTGCTAGGTTTAACCCGGCATATGTTATTCCCTCCCTACGCAAGACTCTCATTCAGATGCTTACCGAACTCGAGTTCTCAGACGTGGCACGAAACAAGGAGGAGAGTGCTAAACTACTGAGCCTCTTGGTTCAAAATGCACAGTCACTGATTAAGCCCTATGTCGAGCCAATGATCTCTGTTCTTCTCCCCAAGGCCAACGATCCCAGCCCCACGGTCGCTGCTACCATTTTGAAAGCTATTGGAGAGCTGGCCACTGTCGGCGGCGAAGACATGTTGCCGTACAAGGACCGTCTAATGCCACTCATCATTGATGCCCTGCAAGACCAGAGCTCAAACATCAAACGAGAGGCGGCTCTCCATTCTCTTGGCCAGCTGGCAAGTAATTCTGGATATGTGATACTGCCTTACCTTGAATATCCTCAACTATTAGAAATTCTCCAAGCCATTATTAGGACAGAAGATCAGAGAGGTCCTCTGCGACAAGAGACCATCAAGCTTATGGGTATTTTGGGCGCATTGGATCCCTACAAACATCAGGTGAGCACCGCGGCCCCCTTCTTTCCTCTCGAATTTGTTCATTCTTGGACAACGATATTAGGAGAGGATCTTCGAGTTCGCTAATTGCTGAATGCAGCAGGTTGAGGACAAGACACCCGAAATGCAACGACGCTCCGAGTCAAATCAGATGACAGACATATCACTGATGATGACTGGATTAACGCCGTCAAATAAAGAGTACTTCCCTACCGTCGTCATCAACGCACTTCTCCAGATTCTCAAGGACCACTCCCTGGCTCAGCATCATGCCGCCGTTATCGAGGCTATTATGAATATCTTCAGAACGTTAGGATTAGAATGCGTCTCATTCTTGGATAGAATCGTTCCTGCGTTCTTGCTTGTCATTCGATCGTGCCCCCCTACTCGCCTGGAGTCGTACTTCAATCAGTTGGCGACGTTGGTGAGCATTGTGCGACAGCACATCAGAAATTATCTTCCAGAGATTGTAGAGATTCTTCAGGAATACTGGCACAAGTCGGCTTCATTACAAACTACGATTCTGTCCTTGGTCGAAGCCATCTCTCGGTCGCTGGAGGGTGAGTTCAAAATCTACCTGGCGTCACTTCTCCCCCTCATGCTTGGTGTGCTCGACAAGGACGTGTCCACAAAACGAACGCCGTCTGAGAAAGTATTGCACGCCTTTTTGGTTTTTGGAGCGAGCGCTGAGGAGTACATGCACCTTATTATCCCCGTTATTGTTAGGACTTTTGAGAAGCAGGGACAGCCAACGTTCATCAGGAAGCAAGCGATTGACACTATTGGCAAAATTTCCCGCCAAGTAAATTTGAACGATTTTGCGGCCAAAATTATCCATCCTCTAACAAGAGTGCTCGATATGGGAGAACCCATGTTGAGGCTCGCTGCGCTTGATACACTCTGTGCTTTGGTACAGCAGCTTGGAAGAGACTATATACATTTTATGGGAACTGTGAACAAAGTCATCAACCAACATCAGATCCAACATCAAAACTATGATCTGCTTGTTAGCAAGCTGCAGAAAGGGGAGGTTTTACCGCAAGATTTGACATCAGACGCGCGCCTTTTGGACATTGGAGACGAGACCCCTTTTGCAGATCTGGGTACTAAGAAGCTGGAGATGAATGCCATTCACCTGAAAGCCGCGTGGGATACCAAAGGAAAGTCAACAAAGGAGGATTGGCAGGAGTGGCTACGAAGATTCAGCACCACGCTCCTTACAGAGTCGCCAAACCACGCCTTGAGGGCCTGTGCCAGCCTTGCGAGCGTCTACTTGCCCCTAGCCCGAGAGCTTTTCAACTCGGCCTTTGTTTCGTGTTGGAGCGAGCTTTATGAACAGTTCCAAGACGAACTAATTCAGAACATCGAGAGCGCCATCAAGTCGGAGAATGTACCGCCAGATTTGCTTGGCCTCTTGCTCAACTTGGCCGAGTTCATGGAACACGATGACAAAGCTTTGCCCATCGACATTCGAGTTCTCGGTAGAGAGGCCGCCCGCTGCCACGCCTATGCCAAAGCGCTGCATTATAAAGAACTGGAATTCCTGCAAGATCAAAGCAGTGGAGCCGTAGAAGCCCTGATTGTGATCAACAATCAGCTACAGCAGTCAGATGCTGCTATCGGTATCTTGAGGAAAGCTCAGCTGTACAAGGAAGGCATTCAGCTGCGCGAGACGTGGTTTGAGAAGTTGGAGCGATGGGAGGAAGCTTTGGCATCCTACAACAAGCGAGAAAGAGAGGTGCCTGCTGACCAACCCATTCCTATTGATATTGTCATGGGCAAGATGCGTTGTCTTCACGCCCT